GCTCCTTTCCTAAGACACGCGACGACCAGGGCTGTCCCTCCCCTCTCACCTCCACACACCCGGGCCAGCCGCCGCACGACCAAAGTCGCCCAAGAAGTGTTGAAAACAAACCAAACCTTCTGTACAAAATTAAGGGAACTTTTATTTACAGAACTGCTCCAGGCAGCAACACTCTTGTGCTCCTGATCCTTTGGAGGGGGAAGAAATTGCTCCGTTAAATTGCAGAGAGGTGCCCAGCAGAGGGACGAGTTCCTGGGAGGAACCGGCTCGCGCAGCCAGGGGTGAACCGCCCGCAGCGGGTGTTTGCTCCCCGTTCGCTGGGGACGCTGTTCACCCCTTGCACCGGCCCCTCGGTGCTCGGCCCACAGACCCAAATGCAGGGGGCTCTGTGCCCACGGCCCTTGGCCCCAGCTGACACCAACGGGGAAGCCTCTGGCATTCCCTTCCAGCCCTTCAGTGCAAGAGGAGGAAGAGCTCCCTCCCCTTTTCTACGGCAAGTGGATCAATGCAAGAAAAGTGGCAGCACTGTGGGTGCAGCGCCGGGACGACACTCCCCAGGAGCTCAGGAGAGGAGCTGCCGTCCCTCGGTGCCCCCTCGGCTCAGCACCTGCGCTCCCTCCCCACGGGAGCTGCCCTCAGGAGTAGCTGAGGGGCATCCTCCTCCAGAGCCCCCCGCACAGGCAGTTCTTGATCCAGCGTTGCTCCCACTGCTTCACCGCCGTCACCTTGTTGGGCGATTTCAGCATCGTGACGCAGCCGCACCTGGGGAGACACAGAGAGGTGCAGCCGGTGCCGGGGAGAGGCCGGCACGGCTGGGTCCGTGCAGGTCACAGGAGGAGTGAGGCAGCTGAGGAGGAAAGCAGCTTTTGTCATTTGCAGAGGATGTCCGTGAGCTCTGAAAACCAGCTGAAACCAGGCGAGCAACTGAAATGAAGAGAGGTTATCTGGGAACAGGAGCTGCCTGCAAGACAACAGACCCCAGCTGCTATTTGTACATGAAACAGCAGACACTCATCTTGTAGAAGTGATCTGCTAGAGACTTTCTATTAAAGCCAATAATTAGAGCTAATTTGATCACACGATTAGTGGATGTTTGCTCCCTGCACCATTATTTTGAAATCCAGGCTCTTTTGAGAGGGTGGATGAGGAGAACAGCACAAAGGGACTTGGAAGGACGACCCAAAAATGGCACCGCGGGTGCTGGGATGATTCCCTCTCGCCAGCTCTGTTCCAAGAACGTGGGGAGTTTTATTTAAAGGCCGGACCCCCAAAACAAGCTGGGGGTCCCTCAGCACCAGCAAAGGCTCCTGCAGGCCCAGGTCTGGTCTCTGCGTCCCTGAGCAGCATCACTGCTCCCAACTGGGATGTAACCACAACCGTTCTCTTCCTGTGCGAGGGGCAGCGCCAGGCCCCAAACCCCTTCTTATGGACCAGTTAACATGTTACTGGGATACCAGACTGGGATAGTAAACAGAGACTGGGAGGGCTTTGGAACAACAGAACAAACAGCCTGAGCTGCTGCCGAGCTCTCCTCCACGCTGGTGTCGTTACCTGGTGCACGACTTGCACTCCTCCGTGGGGTACGCTCCCAAGTGAAGCCGCCTCAGGTGATCAATTTTGGGCTGTCCAGGTGCCCTGGGGAGGGAGAAAAAGTGGGCTCTTATCTCCACTATCACTTTCTAAAAGCTTTCTAAAAGGACAGCGAGCTGCTCTTGGGTCACACCAGCATGTGGATGAGCCCAAAACTCCCAAACTTGATGCCTCAGAGCTGCACAGGGACCCCAAGGTCCCCCCCAGCCTCTCCCCAGCACACCCCTCGGGTGTTTCAGGCCTCTGTACCTGACAAAGGCATCGAACTGGGAGGACACGGTGTGACCGACGAGCCCGGGAGCCTTCCCAAACTGCAGCCGGACCAGCTGCTTGTTCTGCAGCTTGCTGATGATGCCGTCGTTGATGGGCAGCCAGTCGATGTTGGGGATGAGCAGCTGAGGGGCAGCCATTCGATGTGGGGGATGAGCAGCTGGCTGGGCAGGAGGCAACACTCGTCTATCAGGGTATCGTCGGGCTCTGTTATGTGATTTTCCTCACGACCTGCACAGAAAATGAAGCAGAGAGAGAGAGAACCAGCGTGATCTTTGCATTTCTCCTTTAGAGACTGAGAGAACTGTGTGCAGTTCCCTCCTCCACCCACCAGCACAGCACAGCAAACAATAAACCCGGCAGCTGCGCTCGTCCCTCCCAAACGCTGCGGGCCCGCTCAGGAGCTGCTCTCCGCAATTATCCTTTCGTGCACAATCCCCCTCACGGAAGGATTCCTTTGTTCAGGGCAACCGGGGAGCACTTACAGCACAGCCAGAGTTTGGTGAGGAGCCTGAAGAGGAGGGACATGCTGTCCTGGGTGTCGGAGGTTGCCGTGTACACGGGGAGGCAGCTGGGCTTCAGTAGCCCCCAGATGCGGATCACCACCATCAGCTCCCGGAACATGCCCAGCGACGCTCCGTCACGCAGGAAGCTGTGTCCCGGCCGCACCGAGGAGCCCTGCCACGGGAAAAGCCAGGACAGAGCAGGGCTTACACGAGGCCGGACGGCACCACTGCTCCCGTTTCAGACACCTCCCTTTTCCCAGGCCCTGCACAGCCCGTGGCACTCACTGCCCACGGCAGAGCTGCTGACCTCGCTCCTCTGGGCACACCTGCCTGTCGCTGACTCCCAGACGGGCACAGAAAGGACCATTTTGTATTTCTGCTGTTTCTTACACCCTTCTCCCAAGTACCCAACCCAACAGGGACACAGGGGACGCGACTGTGACGCGGCTAAAGCACCCGAGCCCCACACTTGGGCTGTTCTGCTCCTCCCAGCGCGTTCTCTCACCTGGTTCGGGAGGCTGGCCAGCAGGTAGAGCACAAAATCTCCCACCCACTGGATGAGCTGCTGCAGGGACTGCAACGTGGTCATCTCCAGGACAAACTCCTCTGTCTTCAGGTTAATCATCACCTTGTCAATGTCTGAAACAAAAGTAAGGCATCTCCTGGCTCAGGAAGAAGATGGATCCAAACTTCACACCTGCCAAGAGAGGTCACCCTCCTCCTCCTCATCCAGGGAGTTACTGTGAGACCCTCACACTTTCTATCGAACCTCAGAGGGGAACGATCTGACTCAAACCGCCTGGACCGCGGTGCCCGTGCTGCGAGCAATCACTACCTATGTCTGTGATCTTGGAGCAGATCTCGGTGAGCCGGTCGCCGGGACTCTTGTCCGGGGTGTTGAGGAAGTGCGGGCGCAGCAGCGACTTCAAGGTGCAGCTGATGGCGATGAGGAACAGCTTTGCGTGGTAGTCACACACGCGGGCGATCGTGCTGGAGGAGAGCTTGCAGAGAGACGCCTTCATGGCGACGATGCGTGTGGAGAGGACCTGATCGGCAGAGAGATGTTGGGAAAAATACAGAAGCACGGGCAGAATTAGAATAAGCTCATTAAAGCAAGCTGCTTGATTCCTTCTCTCCGTACCTGCCACAAGACTGACAGGAATAGCGAGCACAGCTCTGTGCACGTGCAAGCAGTGCTACTGCTCCCAGAATCGCTGCCAAAAATAGACTCCACCACCTCACCAGAAGTTTCCAACAGGTAGAAAGTGAACACTGCTGAAGTGGAGGCTCTTCACTCCTCAAGTCCTGCTCAAGTGGAGCGCTCAGGGACAGCAGAGCCATCCGTGTCCTGGGCACGGGCAACTGCTGCTTCCCCCTCCCCGTCACCGAGACCCCTCCCCAGTAAGCCAGGGAGCTTCCCCGCCCACCCACCTGCTGCAGGGCCGCGTTCTGGCGCATGTACTCCTCGTGCAGCTTCTCCACCAGGTTCTGGACCATGTTGGGCTGGACGTGGAGCAGGATGTCCCACCAGTCGTAGCCAGTGACCATGCAGTACTCCAGGAGGAACAGCAAGTGACGGAGGGACATGTTCATGTCCAGCACGTGGCCCATGGAGGGGGAGATGCGAAGCATGCTCAGCTGAAGGGAGGAGGCAGAGGAAAACCTCTGTCAAGAACTGGACGAAAACATCCCACCAAGCTCCCACAGAGCAGAGGCCAACTGCAGCTTGTTCCCGATCCAGCGGCACAGTTCCTGCACTCACGGGACACAGCCCTTCTTGCGTAACAGCTGGAAGTAACGTCCCCAGTGGTTCTGGAGCGATCCGCCGCCACGCAGAGCTGGATGCAATCAGCTCCCCCCGCCGTGACAGAGCACAATACCTTCCCGTGACTGTCGACGCCAGCCAAGGCCAGAGAGGTCCAGGAGAGCTGCATGGCTTTGAAGTGAACCAGGGGCCCGGCCGTCCGCTGCCTTTTGATGGTCTGCTCATCCACCGGGCGCTGGGAGGAAGAGCCGTAGAAGACGGCCATCATCTGCAAGGACAGGCGATGGACGATGTGGACGCTGCCGTCGTGAAAAGCCAAAGCCAGACCTGGGGAGAGAAGGCAGCCAGGGCTGAGCAAGCGACTCCTCCCGGGACAGCCCGGCTCTACGTATCTGGGAGAAAGAGAGCAGCAGCTCCTTACCCAACCCAGGGAAGAACTTGGTGTCGTTGGCCACCTTCAGATCCGTATTGGTCAGGGAGATCGGCAACTTGGGCAGCGCCACGGCCGACACCCGATCCAAGTCGTTGGTGGCAGAAAGAATCCGCCACTTCAGTATCATCGGCTGCTTGTCCCCAACTTTGAAAAGGGAGCAAGGGAGAGAGACACCGCTCGACACAGAGATCAGAAAATACAGCCTGTGCCCCCCAACTTCTGCCTGCACTCCCCAGCTAAGCGGGATTACAGAGCAAACACCGACCGCCTGCTCGTTCTCCCAGACCAGTGTATTTCCCTCGTATTTCCCCACTCTTCCACCGAACTGTACAAACAACTTGTTTTGCTAAACCTCTTCTCACGGAAGTCTCTGCTGGTGGTGATTAAAAAAATCCTTCTGTACAATAATCCTTTACATTTCACTGGAACAAACTGCATACATTCCATTTTGCAGTATCTGAAATCAGGTGGAAAAAACAAGCAGACTGGGCAGGCTGATTAAACCAGCTCTGCTGCACGATCTTTTTCCTTTAGAAGGCTCAGCTCGTTCAGTTCTCAGCGGGAAGAGGGGTTACACAGCACAACCCAGAAAATGTCTCCTATTGAGTGAAAGAAACAATTAAACCGCTTCCTGGAAACGAGCAATTTGTTGCCCAAGCTGCCAACAGATGGAACCGAGCACGTGACTGAGAACACCTGAAAATTAAATACAGGATTCTGGATAATCCCGTATCTGCGATAATGGCTGTGAGGACCTGTTTTGCGTTTTCGCTTTGACCTTGCTCCTGTTTTTAAGAGCATCCAGCACCGAAACTCACCCACGGGCGAGATTTGCTGAAAGATGTTATTGACGGGCAAACCCTCTTTGCGCAGAGACCAGCACTCCACAATGCTGCTGTTCTGGTTGGAAGCACAGAGCAACACCTGCCAAACAGAAACCCACGCTGCTGCCACACGCACCAGGACACCGCGTTCCCCAACAAGGCCCCTGGTCTCAGCCAGAGGGGAGAGGACAGGTTCGGCTGCCCTGAGTCACTCGGCTTTCTGGAGTCGTGCTATGCACCCCCTGGCACTCAGAGGGAAGCTACTAACGAAGGCACGCAGATCGAGAGCGCCCGGTGTTCTGGCTGCTTGGAAACCGAGACCCAAAGGTGACAGATTTCACGTCCCAGCACCTCCCAGACAGCTCAGCAGAGCTTCCCCGACAACCAGGGCCAGATCCAGGAAACAAAAAGGGCAAAGCATAATCAGGCTAACGAAGCACGAGGCTTTTCAGGCTGTTTTTCCACGAACTGGAGGGCTCAGCCGCTGCACCCCCAGACCTTTTAAATGCAGCCTGACGGTGGAGCTGAACTAGCAGCAATTCCAGAAACAGCAGCTAGAAACCCAAAGGGCACCGCAGGACACGATCGTTCGCCTCCAGAGCCATGTGGGGAAGCCAAATGTGGAGCAAACGGCTATTTCCTTGCTACTCGTTTAACTGCTGCTCGTTTGAACAGCAGGTGCTCACCTGCTCCGACATATCCCGAGCGAGGAACTTGAGGTGAGTGATTGCCGGGTACTTGTCCTTGCGGGCAGGGTCCGTGGTGCAGCGCATGAAGAGGGAGGGCAGGATTTCCGTGTCTATTTTGCATTTCTCGTTGACCACGCTAACGCACACTTTGTAGAACTGGACAGGGGAGGTGCTGCTGCCATCCGACGTGGCCACCACGATGTTCCCCCCGCCGGTGAAGGCCACATCTGCCAAGGCCACGCGGCAGCGGAGGCGGCACAGGCTCTCCGTGGAGGTGAGCACTTGCCCGTTGGGCTTGAGGAGAGAGACGGTCACCAGCCCGCTGATGGTGACGGCGATCCAGCCCTCCATGGGCTTCCCACCAAACAGCGTCAGCGACGGAGAGAACTTGACCCTGGAAAACTTCTCGCCGAAGTTTGGCGCTCCAGACTGTGAACAAACAGCACAAAGATGTTCACAGATGCCGGCAGCGCGGAGCTCCCCTGCCTGCACTCTGTGGGGCTGAGTGAGAGGAGGGCGCTGAGCTCACCCCCCCAAACTACGACAGGGCCAGGAGAGGCTTCTCTCTGTGGGACACCCTGAGTTCATGTTTAAAAAAGCAGGTAAATTCTACTTGGCAGACTTGCTCTTTTTGAGTCTGGCAGAATTAGACATGTTTCTAAACAAGCAGCTTATCTCCACGCACATATGGCTCCCATTCCCAAATCCCTGGATCAAACCTCGGGACCTCAAACGCGTTTCTTCTGAATTACCACTGGTTGGCAAAGAAAAGCTTTTATCTCCATTTTACAGCCAAGGAAATGAAACACCAGGCTAAGGAAGACACGTTTAAAGTGCCAAGAGAAACAAGGCAGCCAAGCCCTGCTGAAATTCAGCACCACGCACATATGGCTCCCATTCCCAAATCCCTGGATCAAACCTCGGGACCTCAAACGCGTTTCTTCTGAATTACCACTGGTTGGCAAAGAAAAGCTTTTATCTCCATTTTACAGCCAAGGAAATGAAACACCAGGCTAAGGAAGACACGTTTAAAGTGCCAAGAGAAACAAGGCAGCCAAGCCCTGCTGAAATTCAGCACGAAGTCAGAATCTGACTTTTGATGGAGAAAACTCCCCTACTCAACTCGCCCAAGGCTGCGGCGGGGCCCAGAGCAGAAAGAAGCACAGAGAGAGGTTTCCCAAGTCCTTTGCTAACGACCTGAGCTGCCCCCCCGGCCAGATCCCCTGCGGAGCCGCGACAAACCTTCTCCACGTGCAGAGCCAGCTTCTCGCCGTTGTGCAGCCAGGACAGGGCCACGATGGGGTCCCCCTCCACCATGCTGCCCACCGTGTTCTCCCAGCTGTTGGCCAAGTGATCCGTCATGCTCCAGCACTTGATGTGCCCGTCCGCGTCCGCCGAGAGCAGCCTGGAGCCTACGACAACCGCGCCTCGTAGGAACAGGGGCGTACGGCCGCACGCAGGCGAGCGGTCGGACGGAGGGGTAACGAGAAGGGACTCAAGCTCACCTGACTGATCCCACTCCAAGCAAGTGATGACTTCGGTGTGACCTGAGTTAACGGAATAGACGTCCCACGGGTGCTCGGT